CACAAACACAAACACAGCACAAAACACGAATGTCATTAATATAAATGTTAATTGTTACTCAATAATATTGCCATTATGTTACTGTGTAAATATAAATATTATTAATTATTGTTACGCTTGCAGAAACCACCTGGCGTGAGGGACAACGTTTCGCATGTTCAGTCATAATGCTCTTAATCAACCACGCAGGTGCTTGATGTTTCCCGCTGACCCCTGAAGGCAGAGTCACCTGGGGGCGATGAACGCTTAGGTAAAATTGGGGGCCTCACGACCTATGCTAATGTGCCACTTCCTCTCGCGGACAGGTAGTTAATCCAAGTTGAGGTTAATCAATGTGCAGGTTCCGGATGAGGACAGGTGAGCGAGGCTGGACTCACCTGTTGGACTGCGAACAGTCAGTAACATGGAACCATGAGACTGGTCTTCAGTAATAAACACCACGTCTACACATGTCCCTGGACCATGTGAACAGGTCTGGATTTCATGAGTCTCCTGTGCAAAACTGATCATTTAAAGAAATGATCAGAATGGATTATTGGTGTATTGATCAATTGTTGACCTTTGTGAGTTACTCTAACCTGCTGATTAAATATTTTAATGTTATGTCATATTTTCCTGTTCATGCTCCAGTGTTGAAACCTGATCTATGTTTCATATTCTACAGTGTTGAAACCAGATCTATGTTTCATATTCTACAGTGTTGAAACCAGATCTGTTTCATATTCTACAGTGTTGACACCATGACACATTAACGTGACAGTCACAGACTCCCTTTATTTAATCCAGCAGGTTAATACTCACAAAGTCAACTTGATCAATACACCAATAATCCATTCTGATCATTTCTTTAAATGATCAGTTTTTCACATGGAGACTCATGAAATCCAGACCTGTTCACATGGTCCAGGACCATGTTGCTAGACGTGGTGTTTATTCTGAAGACACGTCTCATGGTTCCATGTTACTGACTGTTCGTCAGTCCAACAGGTGAGTCCAGCCTCGCTCACCTGTCCTCATCCGGAACCTGCACATGTGATTAACCTCACCTTGATTAACTACCTGTCCGGAGGAGGAAAGTGCACATTAGCATAGTCGACGCCCCCAATTTACCTAAGCGTTCATCGCCCCCAGGTGACTCTGCCTTCAGGGGTCAGCGGAAACATCAAGCACCTGGTGGTTGATTAAGAGCATTATGACTGAACCGAGTCGACAGGTGTCCCTCACCCAGGTGGTTTCTGAAGCGTAACAATAATTAATAATATTTATATTACACAGTAACATAATGGCAATATTATTGAGTAACAATAACATTTATATTAATGACATTCGTGTTTGTGTGTGTGTTTGTGTTTGTGTGTGTGTGTGTGTGGTGAACTAACCCTCGGTCTGATGAGTGAGACATTTGGATTCAATTTAGTTCAACAATCAGATTCATGACTGAAATAAATCATAATTCAGTTAATTGGTGCTTTAACAGAAACGTATTGATCATTAGCAAGGCTTCAAAATAAAAGCATGTATTCTGCTGCGTCTCTTTTATTGTGAAAAGGCCGGTACCGGACGTGACTGCAGCATGTTCCTGTAGATAACCGACGTCCGTCTGACAGTCGGTCTAGTCTCTCGTCGTTACCGGCCAGATCATCATGTCTTCAGATCCGTGCTCCTTCTCCTCCTTCACCAGGTGCGTCACCAAACACCTGAACCTGTCCCTCCACGTGGACTTCGACAGACACGTCATCAGGGGAAAGGTGGAGCTCACGGTGGAGGCTCTGGAGGACCGCTTCTCTGTTCTGGTAACGTTAACGGAGCCCGGTACACCGGATGCTCTGCTCCAGTACAGCAGCGTGTTAGCCTCCGAGCTAACGGGCTCACTCATTCAGTAGTAAACAGGCTGAGGGTTATTTTTTTTCTCACCGTGATTCTGGTTCCTGAAGTGGTCATTAAATAAATCTGAAGTCTGGTCTGTGGGCCACTGTCATGACTGAGCAGCTGTTCTTCACAGCTCCGGTCACTCTCATACATGTTGTTTGTTTGTAATATGAATATATATATTCTAAGTGTTTGAGTCAGGAAACTTTAAACTGCTCTTTTTTAAATGGAGTTTGGCGGGATGTTCTTGAGCTTTAAAACAGGGTGAAGTTGTCTGTGTAGTCCTGGACTTTGACATAAAGGTTGAGCCATTGAACAGGTGAGACCAGTGTGACAGGTGATTGTTTATCAGATGCACCACACAGCTGACTTTCCGTCTGCAGTAAAGTGGCTGTACCTGTCTGTCAGATGTGACTGTGTCAAGACGTCAAAGATTTCATCCATTAAAATACTGTGGATCATTAATGTTGAATAAAAATCTCTTTAAATCCACATTTCTAATAAATTGTGTTAATATTTCAACTTTCAACTAATATTTCAACCAATCAGATTATGGGGGAGGGGGATATGTATTTGTAATTGTATTTCATGTATCAGGTATAAGTGATGCTGCCACAGTTCAGTATCAAGTAAAAGCAGTGAACTGAGGGTTGGAGTCAGCAGCAGGACAGACCGCGCTCAACTGTACAATAAATAAATAAAAATCATATGTAGTAGGAAACATTTGATATTATAAAATATTCATATTATCAAATATTCTTTCATTAAGTCTTACCTGTTATTAAAATGTATTTTATTAGACATATATATGTATATATATAATCAGATTAAATATATTAATGGCGATATGAATATTTTCAGGTAAGAAATTCTTTAATTGACATGTTTTTGAATGGCGTTTGGTGTGACGTAAACAAACTGAACTTATTGGGGTTGTACTGTCTTTAACTTTGATTTGAAGTGTGATTAATGAGTACAGGTGTGTAGACATGAGGTCACAGCATGATAGGTGAGTGTTTATCAGCAGCTACATCTCAGCTCCCAGGTGCTAACTCAGCAGCTCTCCCTTTAATTCAGAATCCCATTAATAAATGTGTCGTTTTATCTGCTGCAGACCTTGGACACCAGAGACCTGAAGATCGTATCAGTGTCGGCCAATGGACAGGCGGCGCACTTCGGTCTGGGCCCCAAACACAGCTTCAAGGGGACACAACTGGACATCACGCTGCCCTTTGACCTCTCCAGGTGATCTCACCTGTCTGACATGTTGTAAATGTCTTGTTCTCCTTCAGTAATAACATGTAACGACTGTGCTGTGTGTGTTCTGGACCAATCAGAGGGCAGCATGTGATTGTGGAGGTGACCTATGAGACGTCTCCATCTGCGTCGGCCCTGCAGTGGCTCACACCTCAACAGACCGCCGGGAAGAAGCAGCCTTATCTATTCAGCCAGTGTCAGGTGAACTCTCACTTTACCAAGTTCAACAGCAGCTGATCACCTGACAGGTTCGCCTGACAGGTACCAGGCATAAGATGTTCACAGAGAGACAGATGTTGGTTCACTACTCTTGTGTAATTGTGGACAGTTTGTGGGTGTTTCTCCATCAGTTTCAGTTTGAGGTTTAAATGAAGACAAACGAGGAAACGTTGCATCACTTTGTTCTTCTCTCTTCATCCTTCCTCTTTTGATCTGGTTCATTCTGTAAACACCATGATGATTCTGATGTGTTTAGTCAGTGAGGACCTCTGTTCTGCTGTTTTAATATCAGTGCTGACTGTCACTGTAAATCAGTGACAGTCAGTCAGTATATCAGTGACATTCTGTATATCAGTGACAGTATATCAGTGACAGTCAGTCTGTATATCAGAGACATTTTGTATATCAGTGACAGTCTGTGTATCAGTGACAGTCTGTATATCAGTGACAGTATATCAGTGACAGTCTGTATATCAGTGACAGTCTGTGTATCAGTGACAGTCTGTGTATCAGTGACAGTCTGTGTATCAGTGACAGTCTGTATATCAGTGACAGTCTGTGTATCAGTGACAGTCAGTCTGTATATCAGTGACAGTCAGTCTGTATATCAGTGACAGTCAGTCTGTATATCAGTGACACGACAAGTCTGGTGTATTCAGTGGACAGTCTGTGTATCAGCTGGGACAGTCTGTGTATCAGTGACCCAGGTCTGTATCAAGTTGAACCAGTATATCAGTGACAGTCAGTCCTAGGTATATCAGTGAATTAAAGATAAACACAAGAAAAACTTGTGCTGTTAAACTTGGACAGACTCAGTGAATAACTCCCTAAGCCCTAATTGATAACTATTAATTCAGCTACACAGACTAATTGAGCTGTGATAACTAACAATGCTCTGTTGGGAGTATCAGGTGGGGAACCTCCTTTCACGAGGTGTTTCGTCTAGTTGGTCCCCCACAACAACCCCCAGGAGGCGTAACACTGACACTGGCGTCCCGCAGAGTCACCCCCCTTAATATGCCCAGCCATTCACACTGCTCCTGCACTACCACTTATTTTCTCCTTTACTTGCCGTTATGTGAGTTACCAAAACGCACCACATCACCACAATCATCAACTAGGACCCCAACAGAACACTGCCGATTCAGCAAACAAACTCCAATCGCCTTAACCAGTGCGGAGAGAATACGTCTGGGCGGCCATTTTGAGATGAGCGATGGTAGAGGTCAGGGGAGAGGTGCACTGCTTGGGGCTAGGCTCTCCGCCACGCCGGAGGCTGTAGCTGGTGAACTCTACCTCCCCCATACCCCCCCACCTCGAACAACTCCACATTTAAAACAAACAAAACTGCACCTAGACAGCCAAAGAACAACACTACAAAACCAATTTCAAACAATGCCAACCAAACTAATAACAGGCCAACTCACCTTGAACTAAGCCGCATTGGTTACTCAAAGAGGCTCACACAGGCCACACCCCCCAGCCTTAAAAACACTTCCTCTTCCTGGATTTTCTCTTCTCCTTTGCGCATGTCACGCCTAAGCCCTAGGTCGTGGTCTTCCTAATGGCATCCCCCGCCTGGGCCCCCCAGGCTACCCTTAGACTTCTTCTCGCGCATCCTTAAATCCAACTGACTGGATCCTTGCTGGCTTCATGCTTGACATGGTCCTTTACATTTTCCTCACACTCATGTCCACTTCCTCCTAACTCCCTCACCAAAAGAGACAAAGACCTTGCTACAAATCCTCTACATGCCTACTTCCACTGGACAAATCCTAACTTCCATGCCTAACTCTAATGAATATGCTCTCATATCTACTCCTAGACCAACAAATATATGTCAGGCCTTTAAACTTTGTAACTGGCTAATTTCCTGAACAACAAGCTTTCCTCCTAAATCTACCTGCATTTCCCAATCACAGGCATCCTCTAAGCTGCCTTGCCTCCTTGTTGTCTTACCAACTTTCTCTCCCTCTTGAACAAACTCTTTATTTTAGACCCTCCTAAATTTGCCTGCCTCCGTAAATCTTCAATTCCTGCAGCTAAGCTTTTTAAAACCTGGTTATGTCGCCACGTATACCGGCCTTGCGACAGACTAACCTTACAGCCTGACAAAATGTGCTTTAGAGTTGCAGTACCTGAACACAATGCACATAGCGGGTCTCCATTTACCCAGAGTTTTAGGTTCTGGGGAGTTGGCAATACATCATATGTTGCCCCTATCAAGAATCTAATGCTACTTTCCTCCATACTCCACAGCTCTTTCCAGCTAAGCTTTTTCTTGTCTACACCTTCCCAATTCTCCCACTGTCCCTGCTTAGCCTGAGCCACTGCCTTTGCACCCCTTAATATTTCCTCCTGTCTACGAACCTGCTCCACAACTAGCTTTCTCTTCTCTTTGGGACCTGCTCTACTCCACACCGGTTTGCCTGGGCCAAGCCCAACCCCGGCCTATTTGGACATTACCCACAATCTCTGTATGCCTGAGCGTTGCTTCTGCCTCCTGCACTGCCATTCTTGGATTCCACTTTCTCCCCTTGATTGGGTTTGGAACCACCTTACTGACTACCACATCTTTACACCCAGATAACAGGAGCTCTGTCCTAACCTTGGTACATTTAAACTCCTCCACTAGACTAGTTACTGGGAGCTGAAGTATGCCTTTCCCATACAGTGCCACCGTACTTAAGCATCTAGGAACACCTAGCCACTTCCTAATGTAGAAGCTAACTAATCTTTCCATTTTTTCTGCAGCAGTTACTGGAATCTCATAAACGGACATTGGCCACATCAGTCTGGGAAATAACCCGAACTGCAAACACCACAACTTCAGTTTTCCTGGAAGCCCTGATTTATCTATTCTATCCAGTCCCTCGGCAACATCTTTCCGAAACTGCACTACTTGTTCTCCGTCCTTCAAGTCTGCCTTGTACCACCTACCTAGACTCTTTACTGATTTTTCCCTAATTATTGGAATTTCCTCGGACACGACTATGACTCGGATATGCGACTCAGTGAAGGATAGGGGCACGGACCTATTCTCTAGGACTAGAACTGGGCAGAATAGTTCTCAGGGTGACGTGAGCGTAGCTGGAGAGAATAAAAATGTTTCATGTGACAGTATATCAGTGACAGTCAGCCTGTATATCAGTGCAGCTCCTGCTTTCTGTTTCTTCAGACTTTAATTCTCCATCTGTCACAACTTTGTTTACTTTTTTATTATTTTTCGGACTGTTTAAACATTTGTTTAAACACGCCTGATGTTCTACGAGCTTCTTCTCCGTCAGTCACTGTCGTCCTGTGTTTTGTCTAACAGGCTCATCACTGCAGGAGTATGGTCCCCTGTCAGGACAGTCCGTCTGTCAAACACACCTACTACGCTCAGGTAAGACACCATGTGTCTGCAGGCACTCACCCCCTGTTCCACAGGTGTCACTGTCCTGTCTCCTCTTCAGGTGTCTGTACCCATCTCCTCTTCAAGTATCTGTACCTGTTTCTCAGGTGTCTCTACCTGTCTCCTCTTCAGGTGTCTGTACCTAAGGATCTGGTGGCTGTAATGAGTGCAGTGAGAGACGGACAGGAAGTCGATCCTCAGGACAACAACTGCATCATCTACAGATTCAGACAGCCGGTCAGTGTCTCCTGTCTCCTGATGCCTATTTTTTACCACCTATATATTAAGTTTAGTAAATATATTGTAATGTATAGATTATTATTTTATAGTAAATATATTTAGTAAATATATTTAGTAGATATGTTAATTATAATACTATATAATCCCATTTTCTCACCTAATCTGTTTTTGCTGAAATGACTAACAGTCACAAACACAACAATGGTCAGTGTACTGTGACATTAGACAAAGAAGAAGATGCATTAATCCATGACTCCAATCATTATTGATTATCAAAATATCGAGATAAATAAGATTCATTTTCTGTTGATCAACTCATCGACCTTTCGATTAATCATTTCAATTTCAAGTTGAACTGTTACATGAATCCAAAGTGGTTTTTATGTCCAGATCACCAGCTTCAATTTATGTCTATGTTTAAAGTCCACAACTCTGACCTTTGACCTCTGTTCTCAGGTGCCCATGCCTTCCTACCTGATAGCCATCGTGGTCGGAGCTCTGGAGAGCAGGTACGCTCTTGCTCACCTGTTCACTGATGTCATCATGTTACCTGCAGCAGGTAATAAAACAAAGTATCTGTGTTCTCATTCACTTACAGGGAGATCGGTCCAAGGTCCAGAGTCTGGTCTGAGAAAGAGTTTGTGGATAAAGCAGCGTTTGAGTTCTCTGAGGTGAGTCACAATAAGAGCTGATGAAACCACTGTTTTAACTGGGACCAGTATCTCACTGACCAGAACACACACTGACGTTTTTATGACATTTTTTATGCCCTACTATTCTGTGACATTTTTATGACATACCGGACCATGAGACACATATATACATACACTTTAATCAAATTTACATACATACATACATTTCTTGTCATAGATACTTTCAGACATACATGAATACTTTAATATATACAGTACATACATATAAGTAGTCTAATTCATACATTCTTTCAGACCTAAAATCTTTAATTTATACATGTATACCTACTAACAGACATACATGTATGTATTCATACACATGCATGCAAACTTGTACTTTTGTTTATATATAGACATGCTCTGACAGAAGACTTTTATTACTACATACATATGTACATACATACATTCAGTAATATACAGATACACATATGAACTTTTGTACATGCACGCGTTCAGAAATGCATGAATTCATACTTTTATTCACAGATACATAATTTTATGCAAAAATACATTCATGCCTTACTAAACTATGACGTTTTGATAACACTTTTACGCCTTGGTATACTATGACGTTTTTTGCGCCTTACTGTACTATGACGTGATGATGTTTTTTTTACGCCTTACTGTACGATATCGTTTTTAAGACGTTTTTTATGCAGTACTATACTAATAAATTTATTGATGTTTTTATGCCTTACTATCCTATGACGTTTTTTGACATTTCTATCCCTTTCTATTCTATGACGTTTTTATGCCTTACTATACTATGGCTTTTTATGCCTTTTTATGCCTTACTATACAATGACGTTTTTATGACGTTTTTATGACTTCTTATGCCTTACTATACTATGACTTTTTTATGACTTTTTAGGCCTTATTATACTATGACGTTTTTATGACTTTTTATGCCTTACTATACTATGACTTTTTTTGCCTTACTATACTATGACGTTTTTGTCACTTTTTATGCCTCACTATACTATGACGTTTTTATGACTTTTTGTACCTTACTATACTATGATTTTTTGTGCCTTATTGTACTACGACGTCTTTATGAAATTTTTTATGCCTTATTATACTAAAACGTTTTTATGACTTTTTAGGCCTTATTATACTATAACGTTTTTATGACTTTTTATGCCTTACTATACTATGACTTTTTATGACTTTTTATGCCTTTCTATACTATGACTTTTTCATGACTTTTTATGCCTTACTATACTATGACTTTTTATGACTTTTTATACCTTACTATACTATGACTTTTTATGCCTTACTATACTATGACGTTTTTATGCCAAATATACTGTGACGTTTTTATGACTTTTTATGCCTTATTATACTATGACGTATTTATGACTTTTTATGCAATACTATACTATGACTTTTTATGCTTTATTATACTATGATGTTTTTATGACTTTTTATGCCTTACTATACTATGACGTTTTAATGACTTTTTATGCCTTACTATACTATGACTTTTTTATGACTTTTTATGCCTTACTATACTATGACGTTTTTATGCCTTATATACTGTGACGTTTTTATGACTTTTTATGCTTTATTATACTATGATGTTTTTATGACTTTTTATGCCTTACTATACTATGACGTTTTTATGTCTTACTATACTATGGCTTTTTATTCCTTTTTATGCCTTACTATACAATGACGTTTTTATGACTCTTTATGCCTTACTATACTATGACTTTTTTATGACTTTTTAGGCCTTGTTATACTATGAAGTTTTTATGACTTTTTATGCCTTACTATACTATGACTTTTTTTGCCTTACTATACTATGACGTTTTTGTCACTTTTTATACCTCACTATACTATGACGTTTTTATGACTTTTTGTACCTTACTATACTATGATTTTTTGTGCCTTATTGTACTACGTCTTCTTTATGAAATTTTTTATGCCTTATTATACTAAAACGTTTTTATGACTTTTTAGGCCTTATTATACTATAACGTTTTTAAGACTTTTTATGCCTTACTATACTATGACTTTTTATGCCTTACTATACTATGACGTTTTTATGCCTTATTATACTATGACGTATTTATGACTTTTTATGCAATACTATACTATGACTTTTTATGCTTTATTATACTATGATGTTTTTATGACTTTTTATGCCTTACTATACTATGACGTTTTTATGCCTTTGTATACTATAACTTTTTATGCCTTACTATACTATGACGTTTTAATGACTTTTTATGCCTTACTATACTATGACGTTTTTATGCCTTATATACTGTGACGTTTTTATGACTTTTTATGCCTTATTATACTATAACGTATTTATGACTTTTTATGCAATACTATACTATGACTTTTTATGCTTTATTATACTATGATGTTTTTATGACTTTTTATGCCTTACTATACTATGACGTTTTTATGACTTTCTATGCCTTTCTATACTATGGCTTTTTCATGACTTTTTATGCCTTGCTATACTGTGACTTTTTATGCCTTACTATAATATGACGTTTTTATGTCTTACTATACTATGGCTTTTTATTCCTTTTTATGCCTTACTATACTATGACTTTTTTATGACTTTTTAGGCCTTATTATACTATGACGTTTTTATGACTTTTTGTACCTTACTATACAATGATTTTTTGTGCCTTATTGTACTACAAATGATTTTTTGTGCCTTATTGTACTACAACGTCTTTATGAAATTTTTTATGCCTTATTATACTATAACGTTTTTATGACTTTTTAGGCCTTACTATACTATAACGTGTTCATGACATTTTATGCCTTACTATACTATGACTTTTTA